ATGTCCTGTTAAAAAAAATTCCATTATCCATTACTAACAATTTTTTCAGTATATTGCAATAATTGTGAATAAATCAGAGCATTTTCTTTATTACAGGTAGCTCATGGTGACACTGGGTTGACGTACACTTTTTCAAACAATCGTATCCCAGCTAGACCATGGACGCCGCTACTCACTGAAATACGGGATAATATTTCACGTCTCACAGGACATGAATTTAATTTTGTTTTGATAAATAGGTGAGGACTTTATATACAATGACAGCACTGTAATTGAAGAATAAATTGATGCAATAGACATTCTCGTGAGTCAAGTAAACATAAAAACATCTAATTTAGCATTAGCATCTAATCATCAAATTAAGCAAATTTCTACTATCACAATGTCAACAGTAGTTGAATTCGATTTTAAATAGGAACAAAGATTTTATGTCAAAAATAACTAACTGGATCACGCAAGTTATTGTTTGTAATCAAGCTATTATTAGTTACTTTGAGTTTAATGTAATTGCTGCCCTCTAGTGATGAGGCATAGCATTGCTGTTGTTTAAAACTGTGCTATATTTTGTAATTGACTAACAACAAGCAAGACAAAACAAATTGTTACCGTGATTGTCACTCTTTTGGCTTTTCTCATTTTTCTTCCTGGGCCACATTGAATAAAAGAAAAATATGTCAGTTTGTTCTGCTTTGATGAAAGTTTATAGTGTATTTTATTTTGTAATATTCAGTTGGTGGTTGGCTTGTGTCATGTTAAGTTTATTTTTTATTTGGGCTTTGAATATTTTGGAGTAATAATATCACAGATAAAACAGAGTTACAGTGTATTGCCTAGGTTTTGGTAATTTTTAAAGCTGATTTTTAAATTTAACATGCAGTGGTAAATTTGGTTGGCTACACAGCACGATTCACATGCGAGTGTTCCATGGATGTAACTAAAGACGTTAGAAATTGCTCTTGCTTGAAGTGAATTAATATTCCATTTCCAACCATTTCTGTCTCAGATGTGTTCATGCTACTGTATTAAAAACTAATGATACATCAATTTTAAATTCAAACTGCTGTTAGCATACAAAATAATACAAGCTAACAATAGTGATATCCACAGTATCAGATACTACACACTGTGTGCATGCGTTTCAAGTTTCAATTCATTTGAACACGGTATTGTTATGATTTAGATATTAACAATCTGAAGAATCCAGTATTATGCAAATTGACTAATTATTATTCACAAACTGATATCGGATATTCATCTGCACAGCATGTACATTTGGCCAACTGCTGCAAATATATCCAAAAAATATCTCCTGCAACAGGTTAATTGTTGTGCAAATTTGCTAAGCCAAAAAAGACACACACATAAAGCCATATTTTAAATATATTAAAATTTTTATTTGTTTCTCAGGTACAAAGATGGTAATGATCACATTGGTGCACACAGAGATGATGAAGATGACTTGGTATCTAAGGCGCCTATTGCATCTCTCTCCTTGGGCCAACCAAGGGACTTTGTCTTTCGGCACGCTGACAGCCGAGGAAAATCAGCATCTCGTCAGATAAGCCCAGTGACAGTTGAACTTCAACATGGAAGTTTACTGTTGATGAATTATCCCACCAACACTTATTGGTACCATTCTCTACCGAAAAGGAAGAGGGCGGCTTTCCTGCGGATAAACATGACATTCAGACAGATGGTGGTTAAGCAAATAGTCTGACTGTCTGGGCTAGTGGATTATACACTCTGTTTACTATAATGTACTATCAGGTTTTTTGTTCCAAAGAATTGATAACAAAACATTAAAAACAATGTTTATTACAGGATCTAGATGGTTTGATATAATGGTTGGCCATTTGAAACACTGAGAAGAGATGGTAATATGGAAAAATCGTTAAAAAAACAATCCTCAGAGTTTAATGTTTTTCCTAGTGTTACAAATACATATTAAAAAACAAATACCGTAAAATCTGTATTAGAAGCCGCATCCCTAATAGAAGTCGCACCCATTCTTTCTGAACAATTGAGAACCAAAAATTCACCATTTCACATATGTGTAGATGCTCTAATAAAAGCCACATCCCTTCCATTGCATTGTGCCATTTTAATAGAAGCCGCGGTTTCTAATACAGATTTTACAGTATATTAAAATTTAGATATTTCAGATGTAATGTCCTCTCTATCATTATCGGCCAACACTGTTTCACCGACAAGATGAGATCCACTTTCAATCACATTATTCTGCTGTAAACTGCATGGTTCATTACTCGGATATGCAAAATATGAGGTGATTGTTGTATGTCAATTTATAACAATATTTAAATATGGTTATTAAAGGACAGTGGTCATCAAACAGTCTGTGTTTGAATTTCATGTAAACAAATCAACCATAATATTTACGTGACGAAAAATGTGAACCATGATTTCTGAAAATTGTTTACTTTACAGTCTTTCAACCCAAACTGTCATGGGGAAATTTTTTCCACCTATATTTGCTCTAACAGTACCCATGTGCTTATGTAAATGACACAGGTGTGGCTATGGTGAAAATAAAATAATTTTAATTAACCTGCATATGAATATATTTTTAGTGCACATCTATTAGAGATGCACTTCTATTAGAGGAATTACGGTACCTGATGTCACATTTGCACATCAATTTTTTTTTTTTAATCTTATTTAATTTTATTATTTTTTTAAACCCATTTCCATATCAGAGTCAATTATGTTTTGAATTTGATACAATTAATGTGATCTTATTGATGACGGCTATGCAGCTGTCAAGGCTTTTGGAGCATTTTGCTTGGATTTTATTTTCACTGATTTTTCATGAGTTTAATGTGAAATATAGGAAAAAAAGTATATTCCTGGATTTTATTTTCACGGAATTATCCTTTCAGCGAAAATAGCGAAAATAAATTCCAAGCGAAAATAAAGTATTCTATAGTATTTTAGATCATGAACATGAATAATCTTGACCTTGACCGAAATACCAGTACTGTTGTCTGACTTTCATCAATCAAATGATGTTATCGAGTTGCAGGTCATTCTCCAAGCCTTGACTGATTTTCCCTGTTGTTGGTGTGGTTGAGGGTCAAGAATCGGTGTGTTCAGTTGATACTTCGAGAATGGTTGCAGATATGATGGTGGCCATTTTGTATTTTCATTTTCTAAATGCAATTTTTTATACATTCTCGCCGATTCTCAGTGTTGACTGTCATTATCAAACATACGATGATGACAAGATGTACTTATATGTATGTATTATATCTAGTATCATAGTTTATAGTAGCCATTTCAGTATGTGATTTCAAATATTAAAAATGTTAAATTATAATGACTAATGCTCATATCGTGGTACCACAATTTGTTTGTTTATACATGTTGATGCCTGTATGTAAATATACATTTATTTGCTTTGATACTTTTTATACACAAAATGTTTCAAAATGTCAGTTCTTGTGCAAAAGTTAAGGTCTCATGCCACTAATTAACCAATGGCTGCTCGTAGCCCTCAATTTAAATGCCCAGCAAGAACCAATGAAATTTTTTAAATATTATTTTTCTCAGGTGCTCCCTGTTTGAGGGCGTAATCACCTGGGTCAGAGGTGAGACCAACATGTGGTCTTTTGTTTACTACTTAGCGGCTGTGTACCTGTGGGTTTATTCTGTGTGTTAATGGATGTTCTAATCTTGGTGTTTTTCCAGTGATTTCTCTTGGTGCAATCAAAATACAGTAGGTGTGTCTTGTTTACCTGAGATTTGCAAGAGTTTGAGCTGGCCAACATGTTAGTTTTTTTCATATGGTTGATTACTGGCATGTTGATTTCCCATTTTTGAGCCATGTTTTCAACTTTCTTCTTCATTTTCATATAGCAATCTCGTCATATGTTAACATTGTCGTCTATGGAAATTCAATTAGTGGTATGAGCCCTTAAGAAGTATGTCTTACTGACATTAAGCTGTTATAAAAATATTAACCTCAACACTTGGTGGCGCTATATCTATTTCAGTCCATGTTGCAGTTGATGCACACTGGCAGTCTGCCTTGTAGTTTTATCGGAATAATGTATGTGTAATATTATTAAATAATTAAAAATTCAAATCGTGTTTATCTTCATTCAATCTACCCACTTTTATCACCAATATCGGTGTAGCTATTTACAGTTCATTTTCACTGACATTTAATTTCACTATTTTGATGTTTTAAGCAAACTAACTGGGTTTTAAATTCACGAAATTGGCAGGGAATCGATGAGATTTACTCTCATTTTTTACTCCCATGTGCGAAGCACATAATGGGAGTCTTTGCAGTTAGTGTGTCTGTGTGGGTGTATGTGTGTATGTGTGTCCGACTGTTCCACTGCTATCTCAAGAACCATACATCGGTTTTTGATGAAACCTGATACATAGATGCTCTGAACATATGCGCAGATTTGATTAGTTTTTGGTAAAAATCCGTGCATATTAATTACCTAATTTGCATGATAATTAGCTATTTTTTTAGTGGTTCCTTGACTGTTCCACTGATATCTAAACAACCACTCATTGGATTTTGATGAAACTTGGTACC